GCTTGTTTTTTTGTCAGATCTGCCAGAAGGATCTCTCAGCCATGAACACAACACGACGAGAGCAGCATGTTAACAGGTGGGGTCCTTTCCCCATCCTCTCACTATTAACCTCATAGGCTGTTCAGTCAGCTTAGCCATTATAGAGTATATAGAATTAGAGTCCGCAGGCATCTCAAAGTGATGAGCCTCGTCCTGCAGGGCTTCTGTATGTATGTGGTGAGACCAAGAGGCCAGTGTGGCTTTCATGAGCAATGACTTAGAAGAGGTGTAACTTCAAGGTGGCTAGCAAAGCTAAGGGGGACCCATTAGCGCACGTTTTGAGGTCTGCCAGTTTCAGCACCATCTATTTCATTAAATATTGATTTTCTAAGGACATCTGGTATGTCACTGTTTGCAGATCAAGAGTTGTTTGCTGAGGGAAAAGCGATACTGTTTTGAAAGATGAATAAATTGCGCTGCAGACCTTTGGCAATGAGAGTGGAGAGGCTAAGGGAAGGTGTCCCTGCCTTCTTTTTTGTCAGAATAGAGTGGGCTTAAATTGAAATCAGGGCCCTGTCATTTAACACTGTTTCCTTTGCAGTAAGTATCAAATACTGTGAAAATATTATGTACAGATAGCTCTTTGTAAATTAAAAGTCTGTGCTTCTCTGTTGAGAAAGTATCAGAAACAGCACACTTAAACAGTTGGAACTGCTGAATTCTAGCATTTAAGGGGGCAAGAGTGATTTGTCTAGTCCTACACTGCGTTATTGAGTGGCTCACATTCATCGGGGTTGTCAGCTCTGGAGGTCTTTTTGCTCTTTCGGTCTTGGGTGTTTACCTCTGATTGAGAGGACAGAGATTGTAGAACAGTTGCAGAGTGTCAGAAGTGGCTCTTGGAAATTAATTCTGTCTTTTGAACTATTAAATGCGTAATCATATGGTGAGATGACAAGGTTATATTGGCAATGGATTTTTTGATAGCCATCTTCATCACAATAGGTAAAGCTGCAGATGGATAGATGCACTGGCAAACTTGTAATCACCGATCACAGATGAATGGTGTCTTACACAATCCTTTGTGTGTAGGTTGTGTTTGTCACCCTAGTCAGGGAATGTTTTTATTACAAGCTTTGGAAAGATTTCACACCAGGAATCTCATTGGACAGGCCTCAAAAAGAGCCATTGAAAATTTTTACATAGTTTTGTCCTGCCTGGAATAACATTCAGACTGTGTCATAAAGTACAGAATTATCCTTGTCAAGTGAAACAACTGAGTTGAAAACTTTGCGTTCCCTACCCTACACTTGGTCACACATACAAAAGTAGTAAGCAGATCAAGAAGTAGTTGTCTTTTGGGTGAGGAAGGATTATTATTTCTCTGGTAGGGCGATTCTTCTTTTAAGGATGGTTTAGAAGTTAGTCAGTTGGAATGTTAGAATGAATCCAGAGAGAGGGATTAGGTGATGGGCATGTGATGACATTAAAGGTTATTACTTGCACTTGCTTTTGAGCAATATAGTCTTAATAGGCCTCTGAGACTGCAAACTCCATGCAACTGTTAAATGTCAGATTCACCACAATGGTGGGCAAGTAATTCATGTTTCTTTAGGGGATGTTTCTTTGGCCGTTTCAGATATTAGAGGTGATTGTGCTTACTCTTTAATATCGTTTAAATCTTAGTGTGGCCAGTTTCAAAGTCTTCTAAGCATGAGCTTTGCCATCATCCTCCAGGTGCCTGGATGAGATGGAAGAAGCACAGATGTCCTCCTCTAGCAAACCACCAGTCCCTGAATGTCCCATCTGTGGGAAGCAGTTCCAAACTCCACAGAGCCGAGCCACTCACTTGAAGCGCTGTGCTGTTGAGATGGATGTTCCTCCTAAGCTACTGCTTCAGGCAGTGCAGTTGCAAGTGTCCACACTCGGTAGCGCACCTCTTCAGTATCCCAGGTAAGCTGGTGAAAATAAAAGAAGCTAGTTACTTTCTTTGGCCTGAGAGACATTGACCCTGCGCTCTTGGGAACGAACTGCAGAAGGTAGAAGCAAGGTAGACTTGCATGCAGGGTGGGCTGCAAGTCCAAAGAAAATCGGGCAGAGCTATGACCCCATACCACATGAGGAGACTGCGGTAGTTAAGTTGGAGAAATCATCTCGCTTTCCTTCAAAAGTGATCAGGTGCGGATGACTTTACAAGTCAGCAGGCAGGAGCAAAATGGGGAGTAAATCTTACACTGGTTTGTCAGAAATATTTATGCTCTGTGAGGTAATTATGCAGTAAAGATGAATGGCGTGGTTGAGCTTATTAAGCAGACCACATTGTATGAATATGCAAGCTCTTCAGAGTATCTGTCTTGCCAAGGCCTCAGCTATTCGGCTTGTGGCTGTACTGGATACATGTGCTTTATTCACAGAGCCAAAGAAACAAACATCATGTTTTGAATTGTGCTGGCCACAGAGATGCATCTGCTGTTTTGGATTTGAGCAAAATGTTCTGAGTACAGCAAATGGTGCCTAACTGAAATTTATCCGAAGGACTCCTAAGTCCTTTTGTGCTGAGGAAGGGCCGTTGCCTGTTCGCTGTGGAAGCGTAAGGTTGGGAGAGCGTTTTTGGTGATCATGTTCTTGACTTGCTTCAACCTGGTTTTTTGCCCTTTGATACAAAGTTTAGGATTTAGATAGCAGATGGTTTTTAAAAAAAAAAAAAAAAGGTTAGGTCAGTGCTGCGGTCTTGTGCTTACCTTTCCAAAATAAGATTTTCTCCAAATTGCTCTGAATTCCATACACGATAAGAAATCCTTTGCTTTCCTCTAGGGAATAAAGTAAAGTGGATAGTTTCTCGTTATTCTGGATATGGGAATCTCTCTGAGGAAGTAGAGCAGCTGGTCTGGAGTGCTCAATGTTTCTTGTCTCTGATCCAGTCACGTTAACTTGGGCTTCCTGCTGCATTCTTGCATTTCAGCAATCAACCGAGCAGGTCAAAGCGAAAAGGATCCTCCAAAGAGGACTCAAAGAAAAAGCAGAAGAGGGCCAAAATAGAGACTAAGGATGAAGATTTGCAGGTTGCTATGGCAATGTCACGCTCTCTGTTGGAGCAAGAAAAGCGGGAACAAGCAAAATCAGTTACAAATGTGAAACCAGTGGTTGCTTTGCCAATCAAATGGAAGCCAGGATCAGGTATGTGTTAAAGTGAGTTAGTGTCAAAGGCTATGTTATTGGAGGAGTAATGTTACACAGCCTGCTCTTCACTAAAACTTTTCTGTTAGGTATAGGGGATGACAGCCCTGTTTCTGTTTTATTTAAGTTGTCAGAGCTTCAGCAATATGAAGTATCCACATACGGTTAGTCAAGAAGGACTGCAGGATGTTTGTGGCTTTCATTGAGATCCGTTCTGAGTCTTATGCTTATTTTCACTGGTTGATTGTTTTGAAGCTGTAGAATATTTTAAAGATGAGTTGTTGTTTTTTGTAAACCCTGGAAGAGAAGACATGAAAAGACCGTTGTTATTTCTCCTGCAGTACATTTTTTCTCATTCATCCTCCTGCACCCTTGATTATGCAGCTTTTTCAGCCTTCTCTCTGTTTTCTTTCTGTAGTGGATGTGTGTGCAGCTACATACCGTTGAACCTGTGCTTTGCTATTTAAGGGCACAAAAACATTTAGAAAGGAAGCCAGTTGCCAGGGGAGAAGGTTCAGTGCTATGCAGATGGGACACTTTACTCTTCATGGCCCTGCTCAGGTCTCCTCCTGCTGATACATACTGCCAGTTTTATTAGGAATTGGGCGTTAGTAAGACAAAGGCAGTAAGACACAGAACTGACAAATGATAGCTGTAACACATAAAAAGGAGTCCTTCGTGGGTTTGAATTTGTTTTTTTGTTTGTTTTTCTCACCTCTCTTTTCTGTGAAGCACTGCAATCTAGCCAAAAGCTTGTGTGGTCACCATTCCATGGGTCTGGAAGGTAGACCGCATGGGTATCAGTTGCTTTCATAATGATCCGATTATGACAGCTCCCAGCAGGAGAGTGTGTGCAGGAATGAGTCTTCTCTGGAGGTTTGTTTCTCCAATAGAAGGAATGTGAGGCTTGGGACTCCTTGCAGAAATCTTAAGAGCTGTGTTCTGCTTGTAGTTGCATTTTGGTCATTGCCAACTACAACACTTGAAAAAGCTGGCAGGTTGAGCTCCTCTGCGTATGTGTTCAGCTGTTCATTTATTTGGCTTCCTTTTGCTTTTCGTTTTGAAGAGAAGAAAAGGCGTAAAAGAGGCCCAGCTGCACCGCCACCATTACTGCTTCAGGATCCAGAGACAGCCCGCAAAAGGATCGAAGAGCGAGTAGCCATGCTGCTTGCACAAGAGGTGGAATTCCCTCCCACCCCTCGGCTTCCCACTAGTAGGATTTTGGAGGATGGATCTGGGAATGCAGCCTGGCTCATGCCATTGCCCAAAAACAAGGACTGCTTTTTATGGAATTGCAGTGCTCTGACAGGACCCTGTGACCCTGAATTGTTCTACACTGCTGGATTAACCCCTCCAATTGTACCTTGGAAGCCTGTGCAGGTGGGATGCTCTTTTGTCCTTCCTCTGGTATTTGTGTGCCCCAGTTTACTTGCCCTGGAGCCCTTCTGTTTCCTCACTTGATATTTAAATGAGTCACCCCATGCTCACTGTTCCTGCACAGTTGTCCCCTGCTCTCACACAGGCAGGTTTTGTGATCTTGAACTTTCATTTCTCCCATTTGGACAGGAGGCTGAGGCTTATGTTGCCGTGCTGTTCTTTGAGCTTTCAGAAAACAAAACAGATGGGAACAGAGAGAACTGAGAGAGAGGACCCCAGCCACTTCATTTTGCCTCTAGATTAGGTGTATTTACAGTAGTTTGGCTCTTGTGTTCCCTTCCTGGTGCTTTTCTCTGACTGATTCTAGTATGAGCCTTTCTCTTGCTTTACCCACGTGTTGCGCTCAGGCAGCAAGGAATTGGGTGACAAGTTTATACTGAAGACTGATATTTCTGTCCTACACAGAGGAGACGGTGGGAGCACCTAGAGTTGTAATGTGAAGCATTTGTACTTCAGGCTTTCCCCATGCATTCCACTGCCTCTTGGTGCATGTAGGTTGTGTTCCACTTTTCAGTTCCACGGTTTCATTCTGTTTTCATCCAGATCTCTTGCCTCTTTCATTGTTCTGCAGTTTTATAAAAACTGCCTACAGAAGCAGACAGAACTCTTCTAGTCCATCACCTTATTACATACTTGCTCTCCAAGAAGAAAGATTTCACTTCATTTCCTTCCCTCATTCCTTCATGGAAGAATTGTTTGGCGCTTCTGTTCAAAAAAATATTGTGCATGTATAAATGCTCTATTCAATACTTTTTTTCCTGGTCAAATCACAGAGTTTTTGCACCGACTTATCCCAGGCTAGGGCGATAGTGGACAGGCTGCATTCTGTGATGATTTTTGACTTTTCATTCAAACCACAAACTGCCAGAGAAGTTTGAAGATAAAAACTAGCAAGGCCTTTCAAATCATGGCAAGAGTGTGTTTTCCCCACTAATTCTTTCCATTCCTAGGAATAGCTAAACCATTTTTATTTAGAAATAAACAAACAAAACTATTTTTATTGGGAAACAGAGACGAAACCTGGACAATTCCAGTCCAAAGGTGAAAGTCTGATTAAGTTATATGTGACTGCCAAAACATTTCAGACCTCAGAACAGAAGCACCTGGGCAGCTTCAGCTGTGGCTGTTGCCAGAAGCTCCAGCTGTAATGAAATATTTAGATGTTGGAGTGGGAGGGTTTCCACCATCCTTTCTCCCTGCTTGGCAGCTGCCTGCACAGGCATGCTCCCAGTGAAACCACCTCTTCTGCATTTTCTGTTGTAGTTGCCTTTTTCCTTTTTCTGTTTAGAGTTGTCTCATCTCTGGAGAGTCCTTCATGAAACCACAAAGAGCTCTTGCCTCAGAAGGCCTTGTATCAGGGGACTGCTCTGCAACCTTTTATTAAGATACTTTGAAAGTATGAGCTCGAGACCAGTCCAGAGACTGGACTCTGAGCTCTGCAAACACATGAAACAAGACCTAATTTATTGGTGTCTTTTTTTTCCCTTTGATCAGAATTGTAAGTCAGAGACCGTTCTGCTATCGGTGGGATCTGATCAACCAGAAGAATCCCAGCAACTTCAGCCTGACCTGAGTGCTCGTGATCCCCCTTCTGTAGAGGCTGGAGGCAAAACTTTTGACGAATCCAAGTCAGGCCCTGAAGGAGATGGACAGTTTTTATCTCAGAGGCAGAAGGATATTCAGACCCTGCAGGACCTGGTTGAGTTGGCCAGGGAAGGCCTTACTCTTACTCAGTGGAACCTTGATGTTAACCAAGTTCAGGAAGCAGAGCAGTCAAGTAAGTTCTGGCAGCTTTGTGCAGAACCACACTTAAGCCATACTGAATTTGGAGAGCAGTGACAGCAGCCGCAAGATGGTGATGTTGATCTAGGAGGTGATATTTTGGGGGGTATTGTTCTGCAGTAGGCTTTCGATACAATCAGGTTGACATTTCTGAAAAGATTCATAAATTCCAATGTTGAAAAGAACTCCTTTGAGACAACAGGTTTTAAATTTTATTTTAAAATTCCTTTAAAGGAATCAAATGCATTTCTGCCAGGAGGGAGCCCAGACGTGGCCAACAGTGAGGCCAAAACTCATCCCAACTATTTGGACTCTCCTTTCGGTTACGTGTACTGCACTGCATGCTGCTCTTTTCTGTGTATTGACTGTTGCTAGCAGCACTGTCTCATCAGGTCTTGAGAAGACCAGGAGAACAAGAGTGCAAGACAGATGTCGTTATATTGGTACATGGATACACAAACCCTGGAGTTTATCTGTACCTATACAGGTTGAAAAAATACATCACCTAGAATTCCTCCAAGAGCAACTCTCGAACATCCCCAGTCAGAGTTGCGTGCGGTGCACAACTGCGCATTCCAAGGTCAATGATGACCCTTAACACGGCCTGGCTGTTTAGCATAACGTGTGTACTGTGTGTCTCCTGTTCACCTATTAACGAAAAACATGGTTGCTAAGTTCTCTTCTCTATGCTGTCTGTATTTTCACTTGGGTGTAACGTTCCTCACTTCCCCTGCTAAACTGCAGCAAATGGCTGCTGGTCCTATGCTGAGGGGCCAAACCCCTCTGATAAAGGCAGGAGGGAGAAGCTGAGCTTTCAGCTCAGATATGTCAGCCTGATTCAGCAGTCGTCTTGGGGAGCCGTCATGGCAAGGATACTGTTAGGAGTTCCTACTTATGTCTTAAAACAATTTTGTCTGTGATTTGTGATGTGCCTTTTCTTCTCTGAGGAAAAAAATCGACTTCCAGTGATACTCCACTTAGTGGCTTCGTCCCTCCATCCAAAGAGAAGAGATTTCTGAGAAGCAGCTGTAAGAGCGTAAGGACAAATGTTAATTTTTTCCACTTTTTTGTATTTGTATTCGTACTGTCAAAAAGAGGCTGGCCCATTTGAGCAATTCACAGAAGTATGGAATATTTCCCATTCCTTTCCACAGAAACAAAGAGGGTGTTTGAGGTTCGGAGTCACTCATAGAAATCATCACAGACAGCTGAGGTCAACGTGCTTGGTGTTTCATTGATGTCCGCAGGCAGGCCTGTGTTTTTTTTCAGAGTTTGTCCTACTTAATGAGAGAGATTATTTAAAAAAAAACAGGTAACAAAACCAATCTGTGCATAATTTGCCCAAAGAGAACCCGCTTACATAGTGAGGCTGTAGTACTTAGAGTATTTGAGGTAGTTACTAGGGATGTATCTGCACAGCATTTAGGCGGTAGTCTGCTGTGATGCCCAGCTCTGCTTTGATGGCTAGACTAGATTAGAGTGAATTACCTGGAGCCCAGGAGAAGCAGAATTGTCTGGTGTTTCATCCAGGCTCAGGTACTCACCTAGTTTGGGTGGTTCTGAATGGCACTTTGTAAATGCCTCTCCTGTCATCTTCCTTTGCATGCTGTGCCTAGTAATGGAAGAGAGAGTTCCTGCAAGGCCTGGCTGAATCACTCGAAATTCTCTAATCTAGCATAAGATCCTGTCAGATGAGGTAGAATGCTGCGAGGTCCATGGAAGATGAGCACTTTTAAAAAGCTCACTTTATCACCAGAAGTTTTAGTATGCAAAATCCTGAATTGTGAGAATGCATATCAAAGGAACTCGCTTGACCATCGGTGTACTCTCTGTGGTGACCAGGTGAAGATCACAGGCTAGGAAGTCATAGGTCATTTTTTATCAAGCCAGTAGTACTCTGCAGATCACAGCTCACGCTAGATGCATCAGTCCTTCCCCCTGTGGAAATAAAATCAATTTTCTTTGCATATTAAAAAAAAGCACCAAAAAAACTAATTCATCTTCTTACTAGGATCATCCACTTTATCTGGCGGAACTTACTGTCTTTGGATAGATAATAAATAATCATACCATGAAAGCTAATAGATTTTGGCATGAGGTAAGTTTTGATGCCTTGAGAAGACACTTTTGGATTCTGCTTATAAAATCAAGAGGCATTTAAAAACAGACAATTCTTTGAGGTGGGAATCAGTTTTAAACTTGGGCAAGTAGCCTGTCACAGATAAAGGATCCCAACTACTTGTTAAAGAAAACACTAGATATTCTTTGGCAGTATTAAAAAAAAAAAAACATGTTTTATAAGCCCCTGAGTACATTAAAACAAAGGCCTTTAGCAGTACAGAGACTGTACAGATGTTGTTGGTGAAGCTCAGTTGCTACTAGCAGTAACAGTATGGTCATTTGTTCAGATTTAGTTTGGTTCCTTGATAGTTTTCCTGAGCAAATGAAGTGTTGCTGAAGAGCTGAATTGGCAGTGGGAGAGAAATGTTTTACATGAGCAAAGGCAGAGTGTAACCACGTAGAGCAAATGTACCCACTGTGCTGGCAACGCATCTCTCCCACCCATGCTAAGACCCTTGATGTCACATCTGGGGAGTCCAGTTTCCCTGGCCTCCGCAGTAGGAGAGTGTGTTCTGGGATGTTCTCCAACAGGAGCACATACCTGGTTGGAGCTGTCTTTGGACCAGTCTCTTTCCTTTGCACAGAGAATGGTGCAGCCAGATTTCTATTCTTATTTAATTTCCCCATTCTTGAGTCATAATTTTAGCATCAGCAGGAAAGCTGTTCTGGGCTTGCTGCCTGGAACGTAGCACCAGGAGTCTCTGTTTGCTGGCTTCCTGAGGTACTGTCTTGCAGGTGTGCTACCTGCCAAGAATAAGAGAGCAAGAAACATCTGGTTAGTTTCCAGGCTGAACTTCCTATCTTCCCCTTGGAGATCAGGCCACACCGCTGCCATGACATGCAGAGTCTTCTCTAGCCCACCTATGAAGGCCTGGAAGAAATGGTCCAGTGTATGCTGTTTCAGTGCTAATTGGTATTGGCTGCCGGCAAACACATACTGGAGCGAGTAGAAAGGTTGGGTTTCCACAGTTCACTGAACTAAAGTAGAAAGCTGCTAATAAAATAAAGAGCTGTGTTGTTCCAGGTGGAACTGCATCTCATGCAGATGTTCACTGGAATAAAACTTGCAGTTCCTCCACTGTGCAGTAGATTCAGAAAGTAGAGGGTCAATGATCAGTGTGTCAAGTATAAGCTGTTTTCCACTTATAGTCAGCAGCCTCTCTCAACCATGGGCTTAAGGGTATTTCACACTTCTGTGAAGCACTGGCCACCTCCAGAGTCACCACACCTACCTGGAGGAACCTGAGTCTTTAGATTGCCTCAGGTGGTTTGTAGTAGGGGTAGTTCCAGAGCAGAAACTGAGCAACGTTGCTGCTCTTTGACAGTATACCCCAGACCTGACCTTACCAGTGATATTAACCAGTCACAGATACCTCAGTCAACAAGCCCTCCCTAAACTTTCAGTAAGGGATTCTAGAACTGTAAGAGAAAATACTTTTTTTAATAATTGAGTGGAATTTTGAAAAGGGTTTTCAGTAACAAGTGCACAAGTCCCTTTGGACTAGATACCTGCATTGTTTTTATTCCATAGGGGCCCCTTGTTGCAGAGGACCTCTTCTCAGCTGTCATTGCCAGACCAAAACAGTCAACAAGAGAAGAGGGGCTCATTACCTCAGCCCCGAGTCATCCTCTTTCCTCTCACTCCCTCCAATATTTGTGAACTGAGTTCAGTTCAATCAAGGTGGAAATTGCATCTTCCAAAAACGTGGTGGAAGGCAGCCAGCCGATCGAGGGGCCAACTGCAGGCAGTGGGCTATACCACATCAGGAAAGGGTGTGGTAAAGATCAGAGGATGATGATTGCTGTAATGCAAGGCTATTCCACAAGTAGAGTGGAAGACAGAATGTGCCTGCCCCTCCTTCACAGCTGCTACACTACTGAAAGGAGGAGGAGGAGAACAAAGCCAGAGATGTGTATTAGACTTGCCTGCTTACTTCTCTTATGGAAGACCTTGAACTGATAAGGGTTCTGAGTGCCTTGAGAAGGCAAAGGCGGGGTGTCCATACTGGGGCCCAGAGTACAGCAGTGCTGACAAACTTGAGTTATTCTCTCCTTATTTGTCAGGAAGATGTCTTACAGCTGTAACATAACTTCTTCTTTGTGTTCCTTCTCTGTTCTAGTCCTCCCTCAGGTTGCTGGCTGCAGATTTCAGTACAATGGTCAACAACCCCCACTTGAGTGATGTCCAGTTTCAGGTGGACTCTGGGGAAATCTTTTATGCCCATATGTTTGTGTTGTATGCACGGTGTCCTCAGGCTGTTCAAATCGTAAGTACTGCTGCTACGCTTTTCTCTTCTGCTTCAGTCAGGTCCTGTTTGCAGTAATGGGCATTTGACCAGCTGTTCCAGACTGACCACACGTAAATCAGTGCTGCTGCTGAATCAGCACAGAGTATTTTTTGGCCTAATGGCAAGTGCCTCTGGACCCGCGGTGATTTTTTTCTTACTTTTCACTTTGCCAGAATTCTGATAAATTGGTGGAAAATGTGGTAGTTTGTTTGGGGAGACGAGAGGGAGGTGAAGATCCTTCCTGGAGTTCTGCCCATGAGCAGTGGAGGAAGTTTTCGAAGTGCTTCTTCCCCTTGAATTTTTATACCTGTGCAAGTGCAGACTGCCCTGTCCCTCCTGGTATGTCCTGCCTTTCTTCCAGGCTGAGAAGTTTGACTGTGGAGCAGAGAGTTTCTGGGCTGTGCTTGTAAATAACCCACACACAGGTTTGTGACGCCCACAATTGCTATAGAGGTAGCTGCACTGAACTGTGCTTTTGGCAAGGCCAGTGAAGTAGTTCTTACATTCCCAAAAGCATTTTGGGACGAACAGTTCCCAGCCTGCTCCTATGCAGTCTCCTGTGAAGGTAATGAAAGGCAGTGAGCCGAAGACTGGAACTCTGCTCTCTGACAGAGCTGCCATCAGCCCATACAACCCGCTTCTTGACGAAAGTTTTGTCTTTCTTAAAAGCTGCCTTATTGTAATCAGTGGAATTCGTTTTGTCCTCACGCATGATTGTAACAGTTTCTATTCAAGGTGCCTTGGGTCATTTCTAAGGAGTCCATGAAAACAGACAAAAAAAGACAGTTTATATCTGCCATACGGCAGTCTTAATATGAAATGTCTTAAGGGATCTTCACAACCAGTAGAAAATGAGTTCCCCAGATCAAAGGAGTTTAAAAAACACAGGGTTATCCAGGTTCTCTTATTATTTCCCTGGAACTTTATCTGTCTTCAGCATTCCCATCAACTGCTTTTTATGCACAGGAATCATTTGCTTGGGTAGAGTTGTGGGATTGACCCTGTACTGTGTTTTTGATTCCTGCAGAGGGCTGTTTTCCTCCTGCAGTCCCCTCCTGGAGAGCAGCATTTCACATTTATTTTCTGCCTAGGTGAGGGAGTGCTCTAGTGGTCAAAGCTTTCGGGTAACAAGGGGACAGTAATTAGCGATGGCTTTGGAGCTCACGTTTCCTGTTGGCATGACATGCCCTAACTTTGGAGAGAGAGAGAGAGTTTCAGATAGTGCATTACGTGAGCTAGGTACAAAGGGAGTGAGAGCTCGCTATACTGGAGAAGCATTTTCATCAAAACCTAAGATCGAGGTGGGCCAACACAGATAATGGTCCAGTTCAGTGAGGATTATTTGGTATGGTATCTCTTTTTCTGTGACACAGCAGAACTAGATTTTCAGCAGTGCATCAAGGGTAGGTAAATTCAAAACAGATCAAAGGAAGCTGTAAGTGAGGTGTAGATATCTGTGGAATTTGTGCTCTAGGAAGTCACTGGATTCCGAAGCTGACTGGAGAAGTCTAAGACCATCTTCTTTGTGTGTGACTAATACAGATGACAACTCAAACTTTTATGCTTCAGGCTATAAGCTAACAACTGTAGGGGCAGGAAGGGAATGGCCTGTTGCATTAGGAAGCTCTGCGTATCTGGTCATTTTAGCTTCCCTCTGAGGCATCAGATCCTGGCCCTAGGCTAAGACTTTGGCAAATGAAAGGAGGAAGCTGATATAGAGAAGATACTGCTGTTGCTGTTCCTTTACCAGCAAGTGGACCTTGTTTGCTTTTCTCTTACCACCAGGTTCACAGCGAAGGGTTCTTAGTAGAGGAGGATGGGAACGCGCAGACACGCCGCGTGCTGCTGAGTGACGTGACAGGAGAGGCAGCCTGTACGTTCCTGCGATACCTTTATGCTGCTGATGCTGACGTCCCTGCCAGGATGCTGCCTCAGCTGGGGGCTCTGGCTGCCAGGTTTGTATCATGCGAGTGTGTTTTGGATCCCCTCGTGCTTTCAGCCACACAAACCCTAACCGGATACTTCTGTTGCCTTTTGAGTGGCTTCAACAAAACTCGTAATCCGCTGCTTAAATCTTAAGTGAAATTTGAACACAAGAGCATCCTACCCTCATCTTTCTCATGAATCTGTCTTCAGGTTACATCTGCTTGAGATTTTCGGGTTTTGGTTTATATCTAGCACACCTTTGCCAAGAGTTTTGTCTCAGGATCTTTATTGACAGCTGGTGGCAGTGATGATGAGTGGGTCTTCCATACACAATTCTCCAAGCATTGCACTAGTGACACACTTAGTCTGAACAAGACTTGTGGAATGTAGTGGATGCTTGGAACGCTAATGCGTTGTGTCCGTCACGATCCTAGACACTCATCAGTCACGATCCTAGACGTGTGCTAAGTAAAGAGCTTGAAATAGGAGCAGATGAAACAAGTTCTGTCAAATGAAAATCACTCTTAGTTCTGGAAATGTAGGTGTCCTCCTTTTAAAGTAACCCTGAAAAAGACCAGAGAAAAAATATGTATTTGTTTTCTGTGCGTTTTTCTTGGTAGTCAGTTGATCAATTGTCCTTGGTTAGGTAGGAGTTCATCCTCTGCAGTGGTAAGAATACATTGTTTGGAAGGGAAAAAATAAGTATGAAGCATGAAGAGATTATGGTGGCATGGAGGGAAAACCTGAAATTGCTATTGACTCATTTTTATTAACAGGGAAACTGTGTGTTTAATTTGGCACAACACATTCACAAATTAAGTTTAACTTCTTACTCCTAGCGAATAGTGGGAAACTATGGGGAAACGGAACAGACTGTGGGTGGGAGACAATGTCCAGCTAGGATGAACCTGATGGATTTGCATGAATGTACTCTGCACACGTAGTGCGTCAAACATACTGGGTAGACTGGATTAGGTATCTGTCCTTAATACATGATCTTAGTCCTAAATCGAGGCCCTTGATAGCAATGACATTAGGGGTTCTTGCTGGTGGAGTGCCTGCAGTGAGCCTGCTGGCTTCTGTTTTGCAGAGGAACTGCTCAAACACGAAACTTTAGAATTAAAGGACCCCATGGAAGAGGAAGAAACCCAAAAACTGTAAATGGGATACAGTTTCTTGAGTGGGCTGTGATTTGCCTCTTAGTTTTATGGCAGTTTGGGAGTTTTAACCACAGTCACGTGGGCTGCATCCGTGCTGTTACTGAGTTGGTGTACCCTCTGCTTTAAACCAAGATCCCTGTGCCCTAGCTGTCCTCTCAGAGGTGAAGTACATCCAGTAGTTTTCTTGGCAAGAATTTCAGGTACAAGTTAGAGGACAGTCTGCACTGGGATCCACATGCTGCACAGAGCACAGACACGAGCTGTGCCAGGTTTGGTTCCCCAGCTTGTTTTGTTCTTCCGAGAGCGTGTATTAGGTCTTGTGGCCTCCCAGCTAAACTGGAAGTGAGCAATGTGCTGGAGGAGCCCATGTTGAGACATGAAGGGTAATGGCTAGGGCTTGCCAACGTGCTTATACAGAGGTGTCACTTCAAAGGGCCTTGCAGCTTGAACGTTACAGGTGTTATCCAGCCTCTGCCATGCCATGGGGCACTCACCAGTGCAACTGCCAAAGGCATTTTAGCATAATCCTACAGTTGCTTAGTTTCAAACATAAAAAATGAAGAGTGAATCTGATGCTTTCATGTGAGTGACACCCGGAAAAGGAAATTCTGAATGTCAGGGGTACACTAGAGCTTCTACATCTTACAAAAACTAGGATCCTTATGCGGATTCTTCACAAGACTCACTAGAGTGATCAGGCAGCTAAAACATGGAGGAATATTGAAGGAGAGAAACATTAACGTTTCTGTTATATCCTTGCAGGTTTGGTGCAAGGGAACTGATGGCCAAGTGTGAAATCAGCACTGGAGAAAGCCAGGTGTCTTCTGGAGTAGATTCAGAGGATGATCTTATCTCTGTGAGGGATGACAAAGATTGTGAGAACAGAGCTGAGAACTTCCAAGAGCTCTTGAAGTCAGTGTGGGTGGGTGAAGATGAGGAAGAAGAGGCTGTGCTGAACCCTGAATGCCAGAAGGAAGATGACAATGGGGTGGGTGAACAGGAGCTGGAGGAAATCTATGAGTTTGCTGCAACTCAGAGAAAGATGGTTCAAGGTGAAACAGAGATGAGTGAAGGCACAGATTACAGCATCTGCAATGATACTGAGGCAGCCCAAGGTGTGAACGAGCACCCTGAGAAAGAAGAGGCAAAGAGGTCTGAATCTGCTTTGATAAGCCCTGACTTCAAAGATCTGAGGGAAGACAATGACGTGGAAAGATCCAGATGTGACTTGCCTGAACAAGAAGAGAAAACGCAGAATGTAAATAGGTGCAAAAATGTGAATGCCACACAAATCACTTCTGTGCCTTGCCAGGATGAACCTCAGAAACGGGGTGTAGTATCCCATGGTACCACCGCTAATGAAGGAGAGACAATTAGGAGATGTGAAGGTGGGAAAGACTCCAAGTCATCTCAGGTCTCACGTGATGTGGAAGGAGAAGACCACTGGGAAAAACAGTTGACTAGCTCCCACAGTGACACTGATGTGAATGAAAATTACGAATGCTTATTTTCTGCAAACCAGAGAGAATACTGTGAGCCTTCCCCAATGAAAGAAGTGATCAAAGAGTCAGGAAAGGCTTTGAGCGAAAAACATGTTGATCTTAATGATTTGCTTACATGCAGTAAGTCACAAAAAGATGTCGCTCCACATAGAAATGGTTTTTGTGGCAGTCCTCCTCCCAAACCTTATATGCCCCTTTTTCCTGCTCTTGGCTCTTCACCTATGTCTCCAAAATCAAATAGGAAATTTCCCAGAGAAGCAAAAACACCAAAGCAAAACCGAATTAAAAAATCATTCCCATTTCACGAAATACCCTTCCAGAAAGCCAACAGGCTGGACGTTACAGCACGATGTGAGAACACAGAGAGCAGAATTTCTCCAGAAGAGCTTTCCCACGCTGATTTAAACAAGCATAAATGTGTTTCAGTTTTGTCATCGCCAGTCAGCAGAACTCAGGATGTTGCAGTTCAGGGGGAAAAAGAGGCTGACGTTATTGTTTTATCTTCTGGTGATGAAATGGAGTTAGAACAAGAGAAGTCACCAGAGTCAGGCTCTCCCCTGAAGAAAATGGAAATCCCTGGGGAACTGAAATGCGCTAGTGTAGAACAAGGTCCTGAGATAACAAAACCTGAACATAACTTGTCATCAGGTACTGAAACAGAGCAGAGATCATCCCAGGTCTTGTGTGGTATTACAAATGCAGTACATACAAATAACGATGTAAAGATGTCCACAGAGTTGCCTTTCAGCAGCCAAGTAGGTGCTTGCATAGAGAGCAAACAGAGTCTGAACCTGAACCGTGAAGAAGGGCTTGCTCACGAGGAGTCTTCGGGTGTGGACAGCTCCTGGCTAGTGCCGGACACACCACTTCTGAGCAAAAGCAGAAATTTCTCAACACAGACTGAGGTCACAAGTATTAAGTGTATAAAGAGTCCAAGGTCTAAACTCCGGACAAAGAGCTTAGCGGTAGATAACAGTGACCATGAAATGCCTTGCAGTTTCATAAAAGTTCCTGAAACAACATTGTCAGACAAACAATTGCCTATAGAGAACTCAGTCAGTGAAAGGAACCCTTCCAGCAGCCCAGCAACAGGAGCATTTTCCATGGACACCCCACCAGTTTCTACAGTGGATCCAGTTCTCTCCCCTGGCTACACCAGCATGAAAAGGAAATGTGCCAAGAGCTCATCTATGTCCAAACCTGTATCTCCACACCATGAGCGGTTATTGGAAGATGAAGCAGACACCAGTGTGTTTGAGATAAAGGACAGTGAGGGGGAAAAGGAAACAAGTCTACTTTCTTTGAGTAGTAGTGTCTTGCTCGGTGATGAGCCCCCAATCCCTGTTGATGACTGCTGGCATGCTGAATATCTGTCACCAGTCAGAGGTAACGGCCAGAACTCCAGCCGGGTTGACTGTGCAAGTGCCAGCACTGCCAGCAGCCCCAAACCTGACTCTTGGCCTGACCAGTGGGAGAGCCCAGTCCAAGCACAGGGAATTAAGGGCAGTACCCCTCTTCGAGGACATCCTGGTGACAGAAGAACAACTTTGCTTCATCTTGAAAAGAGTCCTGTTGAGGCATGTTCATCAGTGGGGAGTAGACTAAGTTACCTGAACTCCAAACTCTGGGATGATTGGGATGGAGAAGAAGAGGGAGATGAACTTCCAGAGGTGCTTCCTCTGTCTCAGAGGGTGTCAGCTGCAGCAGGTGCCTGTCAGACAGAGCCTGTAAAGACTCCTGGTAAGAACTTGTATTAGTACTAGATTTCATTGAACTAGGTTAAATCATTGTCATTTTAGGTGGTCATTCTGTCTGTTGTTCACCTGGTATATTGAGAGGGTATTTTGGCCTTCTGATCCAAAGTAGTCAGGGCCAGGCACAAAGAAGGTACAGTCAGCTTCTGATGTGGGAGAGAGCGCTTCTAAATGTGTGGGCTTGTTGGAGCATAGCCATTTGTGTTTCGTTCATGCTGGTTCTTCGACAGTGATAGTATTCACTGTAGAAATTAGGAGAGGTTACCTGGGGGGGGGAACCCATACAAAACCCAGCCTTCAACTTGCGTGCTAGGGAATGTTTATTCCTTGCAATAATGGGTCCTCTGCACATCATTTGTTTTTCATGCATTCATAAAGCAATGCATGTGCTGACATTCACATGAGGACATCAGGTAGGCTTTGCACTCAGTGGCACAGGTGCAGAGGCTGGCTGGGGGTAGGTGCCCACAACTCCCCATGGGTAGGCTCCATGCATGTTTTCCTGCAAAGCTCTCCTGATGCACCTTTGCCTTGTCTTGCACTGCCTTTTCTTTGCTAATTTTGGGCTTTTGTAACAGATTTCTGTGTGCCCAGCACATGTCCAGAGGGAGGGACACAGTGAGAAGGGGTTACAGGACACACACATAAGACTGAGAACCAAGGTGCTCTTTGTCTTTGCCACCGGATTCCCCTTAGTGGTGAGCAGGAGCTGAGCCTTTTCTGCTTGAATGTCTGACAATGCACAAAATACTAACATACCTCTCTGGGGTCAACTGCTTACTAGGATTAATATTTTAATTGTGTTGCGCTTGCATAATTCTTTCCACCTGAGATCTAAGAGTCATAATTGATCTCTTAGTATCTCTAAGATATATTAGTTATACTATACTAAGTGATTAGTTTTAACAACAGGGGTTTAGAACATGACCTATGAAACTGACTGTGCTTCCCAGTATCAGTAAATCAGCATTACTAAATCAGTATCTAATTCAGGCCCCCAGAACCTTGGCTTGTTCAGTTCCGTCTGCATCAAGTCTCTACTATGAAATTTCCTTCCTGGGGGAAGAACCACTTCACAGAATTCAGTAAACCTATCTTTTTAACTATCTCGCAACTGTTCTAACAAAGCCTTGAATGGACTTTGTATTCAGACCTGATGTATGTCTCGATTTAAGCTGTTTTCTGATTTAAAATCAATAAAACAAAATATTCCAGAGCAGAAGAAGACAAAAAGAAGTGTTGATTGTTCTGTCCAATATAAGGGTATTTAGTAGAAGAGCTTGCAGACAAGCAGTGCCACTTAAACAGTTACTACATACATTAGACTATCTGCCACCAGGAGGGGAAGATATGAGCCCTCTTATGTCCTTCTGTACTCATTCTGATGACGATAATTTCATTCTGTTGCAGAACCTGCCTGTCAGGAGAGGGACAAGCCTCCTGAGACTCCCATGACACCAATGCCAGCTTACTCCATCATGGAGACCCCAGAGCTGAAGAAGGAGTTGAGCAGGTTAGCATTACTTCCACAAGTACATCTCCGTATGAGCAGAAACCTGCTGGCAAGTAATGTGAAAGAAAGCTCCGGTGCTGAAAGGGAAAACTTGATGATGTTCCAGTCAGCATTACTTGAGATCATGTCATGGCCTTCCAGTTGGCTACTGGCATTCCTAGCATGGTCACGTTCCTGAGCTGTGACAGTGGAAGGCATAACATTATCTTAGCCTAAGCTCCCACCTTTCTCTTTTAGATTTGGAGTTCGTCCTCTCCCAAAACGCCAGATGGTGTTAAAACTGAAGGAGATATTCCAGTATACTCACCAGGACATGGACGCTGACTCGGAGGATGAAATCCCATCTTCCCAGCCTCCCTTACAGAAGTCCCCAGCCAAACGCTCTAGGAAGTTGAAGGCAGACCGGACTGCAGGTGGAAAGCGTGCCAAAGCCTCAAATGCTGTCAGGAAAAAGAAGCAGGCTGTTACAGCTTCCTCAGCGCTTGCTGCGGAGAGTGCTGGTGATGACTTGGTTGGACCCCCTGTTGAAACAGGCTATGCAGGAGGTAAGGAGGGACTAGAAAAGACATATCAGTCCAGAGGAGCCAGAGAGCAGAAGAGGTCAACTGTATCTCCAGAGAGGGGCTCTCTGGCAGCTGATGATGAAGAACTGATGCTCTCAGCATCTCAGGAATCTGCAACTTCTTCACTGGATGGAAGCGACATCTCTTTTGGGTCACACAGGTAGGGGAACAAAATACTAACAGAAGAGTCTCTACTGCGCAGACAGAGATGGGAAAATGGGAAACAAAGAAATGAGTGTCAATGCAGAATACAGGGGCCTGTACTACAGCCTGCCTTCTCTGGGCTTTTGTCACTTGAAGGTCAACACAGTCGTACAAAAGAAGTAAGGTTTGAGGTTGGCTTGTTTGTTTGTTTTAGTCTAACTCCTAGCAAGCTTTTCTGAGAGCACAGAAGTGCTCATGGCTGAAACTGTGTGTGGGCAAAGCCTAAACCTGGCAGCTCTGCAAGTGGGAGTGACAAAGCCTCACAGGGCTGAGTGAGAGCCTGCAACTAGAGTAGTGAGAACACAGCACTCTCAGCAGAGGCTGCCTGTGGTGCTGCACACAGTGAGCCCGCAAGTACACCAGCAGGAGGTCCTGCAGGCAGGAGCAAAGAATGCCAGAGAGCACAGGACCAGCGCTGTCATGGCTGGGATGTGTAAGTTTGCAGAACACATACCACATTCTGCCTCGCTCCTTATTTTGTGAGTGCTAGTATCAGAGGGTCTGTGATCCTACAGAGGGCAGTCACAAGGGTTGGCAGCCAGGGACTTGGGAAGCTCTGGGCCTGCCCTGGATGACCAGTTCTTTCCTTGATTGCTTTTCTGCTTTTTCTCGCTTCTAGTTCTTTTGCCAATGAATTTGAGGCCTGTGCTTTTGGGTCTGAAGAGGAGGAAGAGGAGCTTCCAGCTTCTCAGGCAGCAGCCCAGGAGGCAGATAAGCTGGAGGCAGTGAGGAACTACATCCGTTCAAATGAAGCCCTGTACAACAAGATCCTCTTTTACGAGCCACTTGAGCTGGCTGTACTGCACTCAGAGCTGAAAGAGAACGGCATTAAGATTGCCAAAGCAAAGCTGCTGGACTTTTTAGATGCTCACTGTATCACCTTTACCACAGCTGCAGCCCGGAAAGAGAAGGAACAGAAAGGAAAGGGGAACAAAAAACGGAGGAGACGATACTGAACGGAGCCCCCTCCTCCATTTCAAGAGTCTTGTACATCGGCACCCTCCTGATAAGCTGGAAACCCTGTTCCACACCGGTGCCTGATTTGCTCGTGTGATTGGTGGGTGTGCTGCTCCTCCTTGTGGCCTGTTGTCCAGATGACACGCTGGAGAATGGATCTGAACTGAGCTCCTGCTCCCACGCTGTCTGCTCTGAGTTGCACGAACTTCTCCTGTTGCTGCGTTGCTTTCTGCACAGAGTTTAACCGGAGCCTCTGTTCATCTCCCCTGGTTTTCCAACTCCTTGCCTTATCCTTTCTTTCCATTTTTCTAATAAATTTTAGGTCTCCGATTTTTCTTCCTTTTGGTGCTTCCAGAGGCAGGTGCTTCCTCCAGGGACACTTGCCAAGGCCCTTGCCCTGGGCTTGGGCTGTGAGGTGCTTCATCGGTCAAGTTCCAGTATTCAGTAGAATAACCTGCCTGCAAGAAACCAATCGCTTTGCCCCTGTGTAAAGCACTGACTGTTTGGACCCCAGTGACTTACGGTCTTCATTTATTCAGTGTGCGTTTTGCCCTGCTGATTGTTAAGGCAGGAAGCACTGTGGAAATAAGAGGCTTCTCTCTTGCCCTTAGTTCAATTTGTGGTCTCTGGTTAAACTCCTAAATCCATGTTTCTTAAGCGGCTGCAAAACAATGCAGCTGTTTTTCCAGTATATTTTTTGATGGCTCCCGAAAGTGCCCTCCGACACCAGATATTGTGTGAAAGCTTTCTGGATTCCAAAATTCAGCTGTTTGTGTTCACTTGCATGCTGGGATCTGTGTTAAAGATATCATCTGCTCCATTTTCTGAGGGCTGTGTTACCTTCTCATTGTAGCCTGACTACGTCCATCCTTGACAGAGATTTTTTTTAAGAAGACAGTATTATAGTGACCACTGGATCTTTTCAGCACTTCTTTTATCCTGATCTAAACCCACTTCCTTGACCAATCTCATTTCCAACCTGGACTGATCTTAATTTGTGAACAACATCTGGAACTCCTGGGGAAGTCTTCGACCCTAAAGTGTCATCTTTTACGTATTGAATTTCATGAGCAATTCCGACTTTCCTGTCTTTTGAGAGTTTTGAATCTGAAAAGGGTCTCACTCAGCAAAATGGCCACAACGCTTTTAAAAAAGAAGTCAGATTTCTAAACATATTTATGTATTTTGGAACATATAAATATTTTCTATTTTTGATACAATATAGCCTCAGTTTTATTTGATTTATGTAATATACAATAAACAATTTGTAAGGTACTAATGATAAACTATAACAAGTAATGTCTTACAAGAGACTGGGAGGGATTCTAAGTCGCAGTACCGGGTCTAGTCAGGAGCAGTGTGCACCTAGCACTGGCTAAAACCCTCAGCAGAGAACTGGAGGAAGAGGAGAGTCGTGTCACGAGGGCTCAGCAGCAAGGAGAGTCAGAGCAGGAGAGATCACCCGGCAGCGGCTGGCAAACGGCGGCTCTGTCACCTGGCAAGAGGTGAACTGCAGGTTTGTCTGAGACGTGGAGCCCGAAGGTAGGGGAGACTACGGGTAGGGCTGGGGAAGGTGTTTTGCTCTGCCCAGAGGACAGACTGGGGAAGGGTCTGGTCTGGCCTTGGAAGGGTGGGCTGATGGTTATGGGGAAACGGATAGCCAGCTCTACAGCTACTGAGGTCTTACAAACTTCGTCTTCTCTGCCAAGTGTCACTGTGGCATGTGTAATGGCGTGGGACCTCCCAGCAGACTCCTCTGCCATGTCTGGTGAATTTTCAGGAGCATTTTAAATAGCTTCCTTTCCTTCCCTGTCAATCACGTCACTTTTCCTCCCCCATTTTCCTGTGTGAGAGTTGCCATTAGGATGACTTTCTTGCATGAAAAAGCTAATGCTTGTCTTTAAGCGGCATTCTAGGAAGTATTGTTTCCCATAGCGTATCGTGTATTTCTCAAGTACGCATTTCATAGACATCAAAAGTTTCAGTCATACTTACCGGTCTTAATGTGCGAAAATAATCCCTTTCCGGTTTCTCTGCTGTATTTTTAAGTAAGACTTACATCTATGATCAAAGATTTTTGCAGTCAATCCTTTGTTATATCTTAACCTTCAACAAATGCAGTGTCACACTTCAGTGCATACAAATTACAATTGTTCAACTAATAGCACTGCAGCATAAGAAACTTCTTAGCATGTTAAGAAAAAACACAGAATGTCAGTCACTGAAAGTGTCTCCGTCCTCCTGTCTCGGTTATCCTTAAACCTTGCAACTGGGCAACCTTTGCCTAACGCAGAAAAATAACTTCAAACGCCTGTGCTGTCAGGGTTTGGAGACAGCATTTTGCAGAGGCTTGTCTCAGTGTCCTTGTGGCTGAAGTTGACAAAATGAAATGTCTCTGGTAATTCCAGCACTTCTGTCAGATGAGGGAAAAAAGATTTAAAATCTTTTACAGCCTTCAAGATCACAATGACATACCTGACATACACTGCAAATTATCTGAAGGCAATTATTCATTCGCCTGCTCCATTAATCTGTAAGCAAAGGGTGTCTCCTCCAGCTAACATTGATGTTAACGTCTGCCAGTGATACGCTGTCAGTTTGATCTGTATGTATTTCTGTGTTTTCATATGTTCCTCACATAGACTCATTTCTGTCTTGGAAAATCCACTGTGTAATTATTTTTTATTTCCAACTGTGTAGTAACAGCTATCAAAAATATTTTTTTTATTTCTGTTCGTTCTAATGCTCTCATGGCTGCAAGAAAAGGACCTTTTCAACTAAGATTTTAATTGTTTTCTAAGCTAAAAAGTTACTGGCAAGGCATAAAACTTTTATCCTACCAGAACACACCACATGAGCTCTGAATGAGCTTTGGAAACACTGCTTCTAAATGTGCTATGGCAGCCAAATGATCTGTGTGATTGATTACGGATACTCTTAGGGCGCTCTTTTGCAGACACCACTCTGTTGTTTTGTGCATTATCACATTTCCTACCTACACAAATAGTCTTGAAAGTTTTATTCTGAAAAACGATGCTGCAGTTGTTTATATAATAATCTTGCATCTGGCAGGAGGAGAGCTATTTTTCTTGTACAGGCGCAGTTCTGTGTCCACTCACTCCAGAAGTCACCCTCTCTCTAATGGCAGTTCTTAACTGGGATATAATCCATCACCCTGGTCTCTGCCATGGCCAAGACCCATGTAGGGACCAGTTTAACTAAAAATATTGAATACTATTAAATGTAGGGCGATGACTGTTGTGCCTTCCCATTCTACTGGGCCAACAGACCCCCAAATATGCTTACAGTGCTAAAGTTTAGGTACTGAAGGGTTAAATACAAGAGCAGTCCTTCTTGCAGCTCTTTAGGGGGATTAGAGTTGTTCTGGAAATGCATTTCGGATGTACTTATCTGCTTTTTAGTGATAGTTGAAATCATTCCTGTATAAAATTTCTTCTAAAGGTGTTGCATATAAGGTGTTTGGGTTTTTAATGAAACAGCAAAGTGACTAGGAGAGATGAAACAGCCTTCAGCAAAGATGCGTCTGTGATTCAGTCTTCCAGGATCGGTTTTCAGAGGTACCTACAGTATTCTCTGCCCAGGTTCCTTGTCTTTCGCTAGCTGGCTGCTTTAGTGCCCGGGTTTTTTCTTGACCCAAACCAAGGTTCTGCCAGTGGTTACAAGGCTCTGCTCTACAAAGGTTTGATTGACTGATCCAGCCATCCTTTCTTCCACAGGACAGAAATGAGATACGTGTTCCATCCATCTCAGTTTAAAGGGCTATTTCTTGTTACTCTTTTTTTTTTTTTTTTTGTCTCTGAGGTTGACCGTGCTTGCTGTGATAAGCCAGACCAAAGGGCGATCCAGCCCTCATCGTGGTGCCAACAGGCAGGCACTGGCTGCTGGAGAGTTACTATGTCAGGCCATGGAAAGCAGGGCAGTAAATTAAGAGCTAAGGCCTTAATCCTCCACAGGCTGGGCTGCATTTCCCCCGGCTGATGTTCACCAGCTGCCCTGCACAGCCAACTACGCAGGGCGGTGGACATCGGCACCCTGATGTTGCTGTGCTGGAAATCTGGAGCTGTGTGGGAACGCGGCACAAGACAAGAGGACGAGGTTTGTCCTCCATCACCTACAGCTTGCCATCTCTAGTGATGAGGAGCTGGGGAACAACAACCTTATATCCTGCCTGATGTTCAGGCCATGCTCTTGTCCAAGAAAACCAAGAGCCACGGAGGCAAGAGCAAGTGAAACCAACCAAGAGATGAAAGGAACAGTCTGGCTTTGATAGTACCAGCAGCCAGCAGAACATCCTGTGCACAGAAGCAGAAGAAAGGCGCAACATGGAATAATGCTTTATCGCACCCTCACAGCCCTGTGCAGCAGTGAGTGTTGCTTCTAGACTATTGTATGTGGTAGGCTGTGGTTCCTCCTTGTCTTTGTTGCGTCAGAGCCTTACACAAGCTAATGGCAGAAAGGAGGTAAAGAGGACACTGGGCACCATGGTGCCAATTTGCTCTCCAGAACTAGGTTGGCTCCCCCAGCAGCAGGGTGTTATCTAACCTCTGGCTTCTCAACACCTTTTCCCTCCCCATCTGAGCTTTGTGGGGAGTGGGTGGATGAATTCCTGAGTGTCTCCCTGCCCAGCACAGTTCAGGGTAACTGAGCACAAAATGAACATGCATGGGGGCTATTCTGAAAGACATTCGTATCAGGTAGGCAACCCCAGAGACTGCTCTCCAGACTTGGCAATGTAACTCCTCTTCCTGCCAATCTCCCTATTTTGTGAGCACAAAATATCGATGTTCTCCTCACATCTCAGACCTGGTCACGTTACTTGGGGATAAGGTCTGGGTGAGCTAAAATACTACGGAATAACAACATACGGTGACAGAAACGTGACAAAGGCAACAGTAGACATTAGACTGTCTAAAAACCACTGCATCATCCTGCATGCCATTTTTAGTCTGGAGCAGTGAGTTCTGTGTTAACAGATTTCTTAACCTCAAAACTGTTTAGAGGTGTCACTCCAATTTGTGCAGATAAGAATTGGCCTTGGTCCCTTTTGCTAAGATGTCATCGTAATACAGCCAGCTCTATTTGAAGAGCAGATTTTGTCTCCCTTTGCTCAGGCAAACACCCTGATCCTTGCAACTGCTTCTCCCACTAGACTGCTCTAAGCTGACCTACCTGCCTTTGATTTCAGGAGAGAGCAGCCCGAAGCATTAAATGCCAAGATGAAGCCCAGCAGGCAGCAGGAGTGATTGAAGCCTCCACTTCTGCTGCACGAGCGCCAGTGATTGTGTCCATACTGCTGCCCTGATAGCTGATTGGCAGCACAGTGTCCCTGTTTCTCAGCGGGGATCTCTAAGGTTGCCTGTCCGCGCAGAGCCCAGGAAGGCTGAGGCCAGCACCGGGTCGTGGGCACCCAGCAGCACCTGCCTCGTGCCAGGGCTCCCTTGCGGGAGCGCATCGTGCCGTAACCCTATGCCTGATACACGACACGTTATTTCTCCCAGCAGAGAGAAACTGCTCATGAGTCCACGTTTGCTGCGTCTTTAAACCCCCAGCAAGAAGTTAGGAAAGAGGGGCCAAAGCCGAGGGGAGGCAGAGCCCAGAGGCGAACGGGCCTCTTTTCCGGGCAGTGAAGTCCCTTGTTCAGTGCGGGTGAAAGGAGCCGCCTGCGACTGGCTGGCCCGCTCATGTGGCGGCTCCTTGTCCAGTATCGGAGTAATGACGGTGATGTGCTCCGCTGGCACAAGGCAAGGGGCCCAGCTCCCCGACTGCCTCTCTGCCAGGCGCCCAGCCTGGGCAGTTGCTCCCCTTGCCGCTCATGGGGAGCTGTTAAGCAGAGATGTTATTTAAAGCCCTTTCTGTTACTAACCATGCTGGGGACTGTTGTAGGCTGTAGCGAGCTTCCCGGGAAAGCTCTGCACACACAAATTCCTGAGCTGGAGAGTCCAGGTAACTGAGGATGGGGCAGACCGCCTGCACAGCTGCCCTCGCCTCCCCGTCCCCACGCATCTGCGAGCTCCAGCTCTGCTGACTTCCTCATCCGGCGAAGCAAGAGCAAACCTGCTGGGAACAGAGCCTGGTCCCCAGCCAGAGGGAGAGGCGCAGGCAGGAGAAGCGATGGAAAGGGAGGTGGTGTCTGGAAGAGGTGTTAAGCGCCCAGATACGTTCGGTCCACAGCTGGTACTGTCTCAGCCTCAGCCTGAGATCAGAGTTGCTCTCACAGTGCCTGGTGTCTGCCTCCCGGCAGGAACAACCCACTCCAGCAGCAGCTGCAAGGGAGAGTCGCGCAGACTTTCGTGCTGATTTTTCAACTCTGTTTACGGGAGCTGGAGCGAGGAGTCACCCAGATGTTGCTTTGGGGAGGCTGCAGTCACCCTGGCACCATAGCATGAGCCCAGATGGAGGAAGGGTTTCCTCTACTGCTCCACTCTGTGCTGCTATTTGTTCAAGTTTGTTGGGTCCCTTCTCCACTCTCTGAAAAATGTCTGTCTGTCTTGTTCCCTGCTGAGTGGGGAGCTGTGTACAGTAGTCAGGGCTTAGGTTTGTAGGCCATATGTACTCCACGCTGGGGATGCATGGCGTTAGAGCATGGACACTTTTTGCCTTCTCCAGGGCAATACACAGGAGCCCTGCACTTCCTTGAACTTGGTGCCTAGGGCAGGCACAGAGGGCAAAAATGCTTTTCACCCTTTGTTGCCTAAAATCACAGTACTAGAGAAGTGGGGAAGGAGAAGAGAAGCATATGAGCAACGTACCTTGAACTGCTTCTGCTGCAGCTAACATCTCTTGCCATGAGTGATTTTTTTTTTCCCCTACACATGTACCACCGTGATTCCAGAGCCAGGCCTAGTCCATGAGGAGGAGCGATCTTACAGTCCAAGGGGGTTGACAGCTGCTGGGCAGCATTTCTTACTGGATCTTGCTAGATCTTCTTGAAGCTTGGTGACAGGTAGCTCGGGCTTGGGGGAAAGTTTAGAAATAGAGGCTATCTGTGGGACTGGGGATCTTGTGCTGCATTATGCTGAAAGTGAAAGTTTGCCTTCTGAACCTTTTCCTTTTGTTGAAGGAGGTTGTCCTTGGCTGGAGAAAAACCGCACTGCTTTGTTCTGCAGAGCCATTCAGCATTTGCACCATGAGGTGCAAGATGTTTGGGCTAGGTTTCCTGGGAGAACCTTGCTGGGCTCTGGCATGCTCCAAACTCCGAGAGGAGGAAGGCTGGAAACCACATGTGTCTCAGCCATGCCAAAGCGAGCACTATCAGATTGGTGAAGTATTGCCTTTGCACATAGCAAACGTTCTGGCAGAAAAGCTGTTAGCTACCTGTGGATCAACTCATCTGATCCTGTGAGCACTGCACAGCTGCTGTGTTGCAGTGCCCGATTCTGTCTATAATAGACACTCATCTCCCTGCAAGTTTGGAGATCACCAAAGACCAAAACCAAGCCTTGCACGTGTCTCTTCCCTCTCCCTCTCCCCATCATCTGTGATTTACCTCAATTTCCTAGCGTGGGCAAAGCCCAGCTCCTAAGGGAGGTGTGACTTCCCAGCCAAGGACTTCCTTCCTGTCTGTCTGATGCAGCTCCCCAGCAAATGCATGGCTGGGCTTAACATCATGGAGATATCTTTGGAGCAAACAGTAATAACCTAGTTCTCTTCTCCTGAGCAGGATTCTCATTCCCAAGAAAGGCATCGTCTCCTGCACGGTAGAAGAGGAAGAGCTGCTGCTTGCCAGTCTTAAGGGCTCTGAGGAACAGGAGTTGCTGAGTGGTCCCTGCACAGGTAAGGAGTCCATTAGGCGATTAGCATCCATTTGGAGAGGAGCATGGGAGAAGATGAAGCTTGCTTGTGTGCCCATGGCCAGTCAGAGGCTCCCAAACAAGGTAGGACAGACCTGGAGTGCGTCTTCCCCTGGTCCTCTGCAGGACATATGCAGGGATGCACACTTGCTTGCTGACAGCCAGAGGTCTGCTAGCAGCTTCCAGTCATTAATTTGGTTTCTTTCTGTTGTCATTTCTGTGACTGGTTGGCATCTTCCAAGCAAAGGCTGAGCCAGGCTCTGAATGTTTCCCACCACTGAATTTTCTTACCGCTAACCTCAGGTCAGGCTTTGAGGAAGAGAGGAGACTCTTGTGCTCACCTAGGGGCTTTCTCCCTTGCGGAGCCTTTGGTAGCTCCAGGCCAGTTAGATCCCTGTGGGCTTTGGTCCGTCGCCTGTGCACCACAGTCAGCTCCACCTTTGCCCGAGGAGAAGGCTGGGGAGCGAGGCCTGGCCACAAGGCTCCTGGGCGTGCAGGCAAGCGAGGCTCAGGCCAGGTAACACTGAGGTTCCTGGGGCTCAAAAGAAATACGTTTATGGTGTCTTCTGGCCTTAAACTGTATGAATGCGTTAACTCTTCTCTTTCACCTTGCCGCCACTGTTGTATCTGAAGTGCTTTTGTGACGCCAGTTTTCCAGGGCATCTGAGCCCTCCTGGCTGACTGCCGGAGAGGTCTCTGCTGCCTCGAATTGCTTCTCGGAGGTTCCAGGTGGGGCCTGGAGCACCTCTTCCCTTCTTCTGAAGGAGGGTCAGCACTGGCTCATCATCAAGTGTCTGTGGCCTGAAATGTCACTTCTCTCTCATTTGGGCTTTCTGGGCAATCACGTACAATAGTGGTGCTTCTGACAAGGGTGGACAGTCATGTTGTTTCAGTGATGAACTTAATTAGTTCTTATTTGGCAGTAATACGCCCTGCATTTTAGCAGCGTTTTATCTACTGCATTGTTAATGCTAAAAATCAGGCGGATCGGCGCTGCTACTAACGTTGCAGAGGTGTCTTGGGACAGAAGCGGCTATTGCAGGCGATGGCCGTGCAGGCGGGCTCTTCCCACTAGTGGCTCCTCTCTGCCTTCCCCTCGTGTCGCGGCGCGAGGAGGACGGCGGGCAGTCCCCGCCAGGGCCTTCCTCG